CGTTCTTCCGATCTGTAAGGATAATGGTGGAAGGCTTACTCCAAAGGACCTGCTCCACGGAGAAGTTTCATGGGGGGGGGGCAAGACTTTTTGAACAGCTACGGGTGCTATTTAAGGACGTCTGCGAGTGAAACATGAAGAAAGCCACCACAGAAATTGGTGAATGTGAGATCACTTTCTTGCTGGTGAACAGCAGGGTGCATGAGAGTCAAACAGGCTGAAGGCTCGTGAAATGAAGCCCCGAAGGCTCGTGAAATGAAGCCCCGTAGGCTCGTGAAATGAAGCCCTTCAAACTAAGAGAGCATCACAGAAGGCCAAAGAAAATCGGCTGTAGCAGAGGTTAGTGGGGCGACAGTAGGTAGTGCCCTTCTGTTGGAGAAGTGTCCACTGTAGCAGTCGTGCTGATCTGACGTCGTCCGCTTGGTCATAGTTTGTGACGGCTCAAAACAAAAATGATTCTTGCATCCAGTAGAAAGTAATGTTGCTGTTTTTTTTTAAGGAGACTGGGGAGGGGGCAGGGATGGGTACAAGGACTGCCCTCTTAAGGCATGGGCACACTGGGCATTTGCCCAGGGCCTTGTAGTTATGGAGGGGATAGAGGGAACATCACGGTTCTTGCGCCATCAAGGTGCCCTAATTGTTAATGAATAATGAAAGATATTTAATTTCACTTAATTAAATTTTCTTTAAAGGTCTAGTCAGAACGTAGAAACAGTTTTCCCCACTTTTTGCGAACAAGTTTTTTGACTTTCAAATTCTTTTGATTTCCATTTGGTACTAGTTTCAAGAAAAATACATCTTCAATTTATTTATTTATTTCTTGGTAAGGGTTGGGGGAATATTTTAAAGAGTTAACTCTCTCCCCCCCCCCTTTTTTTTCCCCCGTTGAAATTGTCTGAAAGAAACACAGTTCATAACGCCTGGGCCAACCTGGGCCCCAAATTTTTCCTTCCATACTTTGACTAGATTACAGAGTAACCACCCCCCCTTTTTTTTCCCCCGTTGAAATTGGCTGAAAGAAACACAGTTTATAACGCCGGGGCCAACCTGGGCCCCAAATTTTTCCTTCCATACTTTGACTAGATTACAGAGTAACCGGGGGGGGGGGGAGGAATCAGTGCATTACTTTTCCCAGAATCATCGATGCCGTTAAGAGGGCCCTGGGCAAGGGGACTCTTTTGTGGTGATAAATTGCCGCAGTTTAATTCTAACCCCCCGCTATCGAAATGGATCTGTTAAGTGTCACTATCAGTTTCGTCTTCCTGCTTTGGTGCCCACGCACCTACATTCTAGGTAGTGTTAAAACAGAAACAAGCGGATACAAATAACGTGTGTGTGGGAGGGGGGTGGATTAGACGCAAATTCCAAGACCGATTAAAAATAAATATTTGCGGGTAGCTTCGGATAAAACTGAATTTAGACTCGCATGTTTTCTACGTAGACAGTTTCAGTTTCAAAAGGTGGTATAAATACAAGTGATATTGTGATATATGCAGCTCATACCCTTTAGAACGAAAACTGACAGGGCCAAACGGTGTTCTAACATCGAAATGTACGTAATTTTATTTTGTGGTTGACATGTAATAAATTCTTAGTCTAGTGTTTCAATGGACTTTTTAAAAATAAATATGCTTGAAATGTTAATATATTTTAATTATCTCAATTTACCGGCCAAACGAAATGCCAACATTCCAGTATCATAAATATATGTTATCAAAATGACAAGACAGACATTAGCTTACATATAATACATACATCTCTAAAGTTTTTTTTTTAATTAAGCGTGGATGATATTTAGGCATTATTTAGCCTTAACCTTGGAAACGGAGTTCTACATCATGATTGGAAATTAAATTCTCTTAAAATCAGATAACATTTACAATCCATAACAATTTCAGTTTAATATGTACGTTGAACTTTGTGTATTTCTAGAGCCGTTTGCTTGCCACAAAGCAGGGTGAATGTATTGCTATCAATTATAACTCATCTATGAATTTACCATGACAAAAGCTACCCAGCTGTAATGTAGTTACCATGCCACATTACTCAGCTAAGGATTGTCAAACACTGATCCAGCCTATTAGAGGACCCCTTTCGACCCCACACTCTGGGGTTAGCTGTACACGGGGCTTCTTTGGCCTCGTGGTCCCCAACGCTCGGGAGCTCAAACACAGACATTACGTGTCATTACATTGCTTATGCCTCCACTATAGTAGTAGTAGACTAGTATATATAACAAATGATGTGCATGTTGACTCAAAATCTTGACTATTGTTCTCCTCACTACAGAGACTGAATATCGATCATGGACAGCCGCATGACAGTGGAGAGAGCGATGTCACGTTACCCCTGCACCTTTAACATCACCCCAGAAGTAAAATCTGACGCCAAACTCAGAGAGGTGCAAGGAAAGTTGAAGTCAGAAATTCGACAGAGAAACGATGATACCGTCAATGATATCCGGAATAGAAACCTGCTGACGTGGATCGAATACAAATTGAGAGACTTGCGGTCAGCAGCTCAACAAAATGAAGACGTTATTCAGATGACCAACTCAAACGATATGGTATCCCTTGGAAATCGAGTTTTTCTTCTAAAAGAAAAGGGAGAAAACTATGACTCTGCTTTCCAAAGTCTTGAAGCTCTAACCCGTAGACCAGATGCCGGGAAATTAACGGGTACAGCCAAAGCAGACCAGGCTTACTCGTACGCAAGGATTGGAGGGCCTAAAAATCAACAGTTCGCCATTGGTCTGTACATTGAAGCTCTGCAAATAGAACCAGACAATTTCCATTGGAAATTTGGTCTAGGTCTCGCCTTAAGAAGGTCTATTCACAAGGAGATGGCAAGATCACCCGAGTTTAGAATGTCTTTCGCACAACGCGTCAAAGAAGGAGCAAGGGTCCTGTTTGAAGTGGCAGAGACCGTCAGACAGGGAAACTTGTTTCGGAAGCGCGCCTACGGGGAGCTCGCTTTTATGAGGGGGCTTGTGGAACAGCAGAAAGACATCCAAGGTGGGATGAACGTGAATGAGATTTTCCGTAACATGAAGAAAGTGGATTTGGACAGGAATGCACAGAGTATCAGAGAGTAAAGAAAATAATGTGTCAAATGTGTACGGCAACTTTGGATATTAACTTGTATTGTGTCTCCCATGATACGAGCAAATGAGATGAGGAATTGATTACATTATTTAGTAGAGACAATAGGTGGCAGATTTTACTGCGCGGCGATAAGATGAAGAAGTGGACTTAGAAAATGTGTCATGTCTCAAGATGCTGATGCCAAGGATATGTAAAGGAACTCTCTGGTGCCACGAGAGAATGCAGGCGATGACGTGTGTACATATATAAATATAAACAAGACATTCTTTCAACTATTTTATTACAATGATGCAATAATATTTATAATCTGTACTTGACTATTTAGTTCCAGCATACCCGCGGACCAGGGGAAGAAAAAACAATACCAACTCTGATGCCTATGAGTGTTATAATCCCTGACACAAATATGGATCTCTGTATTCGTTCTTTACATTTTTCCATAAGAAATATTTATTAATATAAAATGTTCATTTTCTAAAAGCATTTTGTTTTTGCTATTAAACTACACATGTAACCCATCAATGAATCTCACAGTTTTGCTATGATTGCAGTTTATCAATTATTTTTTTTTAAGTTGTAAAACTTTGCTAAATATAAACTAGCAAATATACCCGACGTTGCCCTTGATCGCATTCTGAAAAAAAACACTTCTACACCCTTTTAATTAGCATAGCCATTAAGTGCCATGTAAAAAGAAGAAGGAGAAAACACCCATATATTTAAAACAAAAATAATAATTCATTTGTCTCCTAGAAAAACAAATTTATATTAACTTTTGTAAACCTTTCGTTCTCGATGGGATTCCAAGCCCTGCATTTCCCTATGGGATCCGTTTTCCGATCGTTCCTGCTTCTTGGTGCGATCCCGATCCCAGTGGGTTCCCGAACCCGTCGGTATTCCGATCCCGGTGGTATCCCGATACTGTTCAGTTCATGATCCCGTCCTACACCCTACCTGCCAGCCTTTAAACAATAGACCGACAGACAGTCGTGCATCTTACTTGCCGGAATTTAAACTATAGGTCAAAAGACAGACCTACATCCTACTTGCCGGAATTTAAACTATATGTCAACAGACAGACCTACGTCTAACTTTCTGGACTTTCCAACTATAGGTCAACAGACAGACCTTCATCCTACTTGCCGGACTTTCAACTATAAGTCAACAGATGTCATACAGCCTACTTACCAGACTTTCAACTATAGGCCAACAGACAGTCCTTCGCAAAGTCCTACACCATACCCATGGCTCTTTATTGATTAACAAGAAAGTCTCCTCCCTCTTAACAAAAAAATCAACCTATTCACCGGAGTTCAACCGTCTACCATCACACACGCTCGCTGCGTGACAACCTTTACTCACTATTAATATAAAACACGTGTTCATGTTCGGGGGGAATTTCAACCATATAGCATACAGTTTAGAGACAACAAACCCAAAAGCAGAGATACAATCTTAGAATAAAAGCCATAAACAGAAATAATAAAATACATAACAGAGACTTATAACACGGTGGACGCATACAGAACACTACACAAGGGAGGGAAAGAAACAACATTTACAAGCATCACTGAACACCATTGATAGATTTCACATACCAAAGATAGACACAATCAATGAAGCAAAGCACATTCCAGAAACATTAGACTTAACAGATTGCACGTGTTTAAAATCACTATAAATATAACTAGATCAAACACCATTAAAAAAATCCCCTCATTTGAAATATTAAAATACACTATTAAAAAACAATCAGTACACCGAAAACATCAATTACATAATGCAACAATATAACACAATACCAACAAAACACATAGGGCAATACAGGGAACTTTTGCAACACAGAACTTTGCAACACACTTACACGGACAACTCAGAGAGAGGGATATAAAGATACTCATCCCAAAAGAAACAATGAACACACCACTCAGTCAAAGTATGCAAGAATGAGAAGAATAACTAGAAAGAATCAGACAACATAAACACTATGGGGCACAGGTAGGGAGAAGAATTTTCTCAAACAACTCAGAAGCACCTACAAAGACTTTTTAACCAAAGAACAAAACATATTAAAAAGCAGATCTGTAGGATAAATGACAGACATAGAGGGGAAACACACACTGACACTCCAGAGAGGTAAACACGTTTGAAATATACTACACACAACTCTCTGAAACAGAAGAAACACAATCAGTTATACAAGATAAGTGCACACAAGTTACACAAAAATTACACTAAAATCAAAAGAAATTGACAAAAGCATTACATGGGCAGACATCAAAACATCACTGTCAAACATGAACGAGCAAAAAACAACACCACCTGGATCAGATGGACTAACAACTTTATTATACATTTTCTATTTAACAACACTAGAATCAATTTTACGGGCCACCCTAGATGAATATTATAACAACAATGACTTCGTACACTCGTTGAATACTTCGTACATCACGCTTAACCTCCCCCCCCCCCAAACCCCTCAACCCCCCCCCCCCCCCAACCCCACAAAAAAAAAAGCTTCAGACCGAACACAAAAATCACGGACCCATATCTTTATTTAACACAGACCATAAAATTATCACTAAAACATTAGCCAATAAATAAAAACCACGTATTAAAAAACACTAATACATGCAAGTCAACGATGCCGCTTCAAAGACAGGGACATACATAACCAAAATCATTTCATTCGAGACATCATTCACTATTCCAATGACTTTTTTAGCATGTAAACAATTTTAGAAGGCCTATATTGTTGTGAAACTATTTGTTTATTTAGAAATTCTTATAAAATTATCAAACTCTTTTAATACAAATTCTTACTACAGCGTTGTGGAACTATAATATAGCTATATTATTTTAATTGCATTAACTAATTATAAGAGTGTTGGATTATGATAAAGCTTTAAAGTAGATTAACTAGACACAATTTGTATAAATAAAAGAATAAACGTTCAACTTTACACAGATACAAATATAAACGATTCGGCAAATGCCTTCATCTGTACCAGGTACCCAAAAAAAAACACATTCATATAGTATAAATGAAACTTACATATATGGATTTATTTTTTAAAAAACAAATTGGGCCAGCCCCATGGAAACGCTCTAGGAATCTAGAATTATCAGTTATCAGAAAATTCTAGTTACTTGTTACTATTACAAAAAAATGATAGTCTTTTAGCATTAAGCTGCATAAATCAGGCGTTTGAACTAAACATCCATTTGATTTTCATGTCTTTTTCTTTCGCGCTTGGACTTTATCTCAGAATACTATTTACTTCACACGGCTTGAACGGAGTTCCGCATATATTATGATTTACAGGAAAGTAATGTGTTTTGATAATAGCAATGAGATAAGAGAATAATGAGATAATAGCAATGAGATAAGAGAACAATTTCCCGGGTGGATGGGACTCGTTAGCTTTGGATGGCATCTCATCTAAGAGATGGAAACTCTGAAATCAAACCCGGAGATGGAGTCCCGAAAGGCGGATAACATTGGTACAATGAAACATTCCGACAACTCCTGCGACGTCACTGGTGCCAAGCTGTATCATCCAAATGAATTTCCCTTGGGTTATCCAGCGGCGTGGAGAGAGGCGATTTGCTGTTGGGAACCAGCTTATAATCCTTGAAGAATAATCCCAGGCCATATGGATTTCGTCCTCCGAATCCCACTCCATCGTCACATAGTGACGGACGGATGCCAGCAATAAATCAGTTTCACAACTTTACAGTGACAGTGATCTTTCATTTTCAATCTATCTTACATATAAATCTTTCACAAAAGAATTAAACGTTTAAGAGGCCCGCATGAGAACCCCTGGTCGGCACAGACTGAAACATTCTTGATTTCAGGATGAAACAAAAACACCCTCCTACTCTGTGTGGCTCAATGTGCCGCACAGCAGTAGGAAATATTATGACAATATGATTGGACCCTTAAATTGGTTGGTCATTCATTAAGTTCTCAATGTGTAATTAAATATATTAAACAGAAATACAAGAAATATGGTGACGTTGTCTCTGCGATGGTCAATGGCTGTATCAATTTTTTCCATGATTTATTTTGCCAGAGCGCAATCCCCCAGGTGATAAGGTTTTGTTTGAATGATAAATTACAACATAATTTTTTGGGATACTGAAATAAAAACAACTTAAAATTATTAACCATAAAAAATATGGCGTATATGTTCTAATTAGAATTAAAACCAAAAGAAATGAGTTTTTTCAGTATTGCAATTGATATTTAATTTCAAGCTTATCTACCTTTGAGTGTTAAGCTACGAATCTAAATGTATTGGATATTTGTACGTTTAAATTTGGTTTCAAGAGAGCGATGTGCCGAGAACTAGGATGTCATTAAAATGGTTGTAAATATATAGGTTTCTTCCGTGTCTGGTTCCATGAAATAAAATAATTACGTTGGTTGATTTATTTTTTTTTACTTCCTGGTGAGGAGCATCGTGGACATTTGTAACATATGAGCGTTAACAGCAAATATGTAGAAACAGTTAAAACATGTTGCTAAGTATTTAATTTATTTGCAAAAGTCCCCTGCTAAGCAGAGGTGAACACTTGTCAATGAACATTGTACCTCAGAATTTAATTTCTATTCATTGTTTGAAAAGAGAATGTCTGAACATTTGTAGACATACATTGCCGAATTCAGATGTTTGCTCATGACTCAAACACTTTATAACTCACATATTTAGAAGAAAAAAATTTGTAATTCCTTAACTTTAAAAAAGCTTTCTTTTATACTCTGGGGATTCAATATTTTAGACATTGAACAGGTCACATTTTTAAGTCGTAGCCCATCGCCAAAGTAAAAATAAAACATTTTACAAAGATATAAATCATACAGTTTGATATATGCTTAAAAAACATTTCCATTTTTTCAGTCTTTACAAAATCCTAAATTTTATTTGTTGTTTTGCTTTTTTTCTCACAAAGGACTTTCCTTGTTAATGAGCCAGCAATAAAGTGACATTTTGGCTGTGACGCAGTCATCGAATTCTCCACTTGAACTCTGGGAGACTGTATCAACAACGCTGTCACTAGGATGCACATTTGTAGCTTCCGGAACGCCTGAGATATCATAATGGCACGCGCCTGATGCCTCTAGCCTTCTGGTGTCAGGGTGCATAATCTTGCGATCCTCGACATCCTCTCCATCTTCTGGGGAAAATTTAATTCTTTTCATGAGATCGCGTAGAGCTATTTGGTTATAATTCTTTAGCACAGGTGGAATTTTCACTCTATCGTCTAATAATCCAAGCGAAACTTTCGGTTCCTGTCTGCCATTTTCTCTAGAATCTATCGTGATGGTTGGTATAAACTCACACAGGCTGGTGGAAAGACTGGTGCAGAAAAAGAATAAACGACATTAGTTCAAATTAATTGTTAAAATTATGTTCAATAAAAAGAATATTTGTTTTTAAAAGTTTAAATACATTTTTAAAAATAAAATTCTTTATCATTATAAGTGCCTTTTGGTCGGGGGGGGGGAGTTGGGGGGGGGGGGATAAGGGGCCCAAGGGGGGGGAAGGGGCCACCACCCCATGCGCAATAATTGCCCCCCCCCTTCCCACTTTATCATTATAAGTGCCTTTTGGTCGGGGGGGGGGAGTTGGGGGGGGGGGATAAGGGGCTCAATGAGTGGGAATGGTCCACCACCCCATGCGCAATAATTGCCCCCGCCCTTCCCCGTTAGTTGCTGGCAACACTCGCTTTGCCCTGTTCAATGGTGAATACCTTAAAAGTTGGTTTGGCGATGCCAGCTGAAAGGTCCAAATACCAGAGCGATATCCTTTCAGCGACTATCGTATATCCCAAACGATGAATCCATCCCTATGGCGCTACAGCCCAACTAGGGCTTTGGCCTGCATCACCACTTCCTTCCACTCAGATCTAACTGATGCTTTTCTTTTACATAGATGAATTCCCTGCTGCTCTAGATCTTTCTCCAAATAGCGTAGCTGGCCCCTTTTTTTCTTTCTATCTTATTTTTATCGATGAAGCATAAATCAAAATGCCAACCCCATTCACCTTATCCATATTGATGCAATGTTTTAATTTGCCTCAATGGGTGTTCAATCTTATTCTGAAACAAATAAATATAATATCTAGACACAAGTTTCTACCTGATTTATGGAATTAAATGAAATAGCAAAATGAGGTATATGAAAGCTTGAATTTAAGGACAGGAGATTACAACATTTCGGCATCGAGCCGTCTTCATAGCACAGGACAAATGAAAATATCACAAAGAACAGAGCACAGTTAACAACTCAAGAAATATCCATTGTTGATGCCGGAATTATGATTACAGGAAGTGAGAGAATATAAATATTGACACTGAAAAATAAGGTCCACAAAAATAATTTTTGCCAATGCCAGCTGAAAGGTCCAAATACCAGAACGACATCCTAGGAATGCAGTCCTTTACTTTTTATGGAATTAAGAAAGATCCATAAAATAAATTCTAAACACATCTAACCTAGACTGTGTTTCCCTTAGTAACACGAGAACCACTCTTGCTTTTGCAATTTCTTGTAACTGTAAGTCATTCAGCAGTGTACGATCAGAATTGGACACCTGGGGATCGAACATACATCAGGGTAATAATGTAACTTTACACAAATGTGGTGTAATATTACAATAATTGGGTAACATTTAGACATTTGTATATTGATTTATTTTTTTTAAAGCTAGAACTTTATTTTGATCCCTTCATAGTCCGAAGGATTCTCAGTAATATTTTTTTTAGAATTCCAATTTAGCAAAATGAAGAATTTGTACTCACAAAATGCATTCATTTAAATATTAATTATACTTCACACTTAAAATGGTTTGCCGTTGAATAATTTATCAAAAACCCATGCCAACGCATTCTTGTTTTGTGAAAACTTTAGATGGCGATGAGGACCACTAATAGATCTGAGAAGATTGTAAGGAATGACTGATGACGAAAGATACAACCCAGGGGACTTGAGGGGGGGGGGGTCTCCAAGCCACCCGCAACGTCTCTTGTATTTAGCTCATATATAGAGCAATGCCTTTAAGAGCCAGGAGTGTCACCATGCCAGTAATTGTGCGGCCAAAAGCTCCGAGAAATCCTAAGGGGAACCTACGATGATCCCCTGCCTCATTTAGAACGCCCAGCGATCCCCCGGGGCGGTAAATCAAGTACAAGTCTGCCAATCTTTGCTTCAACTCGTTCACTGACCCTCACTTTCCTGTCTATCTCTCTGAACTGTTGCTTCCTTAAATCCCCACTAGACAACTACGTTCTTCCATTGATAATAGAACCCTCTCAATCCCAAGAACCAAAACTAAGACCATCTTGAACGCTCCTTCTACTTCTATGGGCCCACGTTCTGTAACCAGCTCCCCTTCCATATCCGTCTTTGTGAAACCTCGTCCACTTTTAAAAAGTCCCTTAAAACCCATCTGTTTAGGTCCGCCTATGACCTGTGATGCACCCTCCTCGCCCTGCCTCATTTTCTGTTCCTGTAGTACAGGCCAAAACGTGCCAAAGTGTCCTCGTTTTATAGCCATTTTCATTGTTTCTATAGTATAGTAGTTACTATCCTAGTGTCTCATTTTTATTTTACTTAGTTTACAAGTTTTTAATAATTGCAAAGCGCTTAGAGCTTTAAGGTAAGCGCTATATAAAAAAATGCCTAAATAAATAAATAAATAAATGGTAAAAAGTGTATGGCTTTCGGTTAGATTATGCCCCAAACATTAGTGAGACCTCGTTTATGTAGATATTGCAGAAATGTTGAACTGCTGTCATTTAAGCATGGTTCAAGATCTTGGCTGTGAACCTTGAGTTTGACAAATAGAGGGTTGATGATAAAGCGATCTAACTTTGTGGAGGTTTTTTTTTAATCTACTTACAGCTTCTCTTATGTTATCGATGGCCAGGCCAAAATCTCCAGAGATGATCTGCTGTAGCTTGTTGACCACTTCTTCTACCTCATCTGCTGGCTCCCCACATTCGTCATAGACAATCAGAACATCCAAAACGTCATTACCTAGTTTGTTATTCTCCGCAATGTAAGAATCAAACCAAACTTTTAAGTGAAGTTTATCACTAAAATCAAGTGTAGCCGCAAAATACAGGTGAACTTTTAAACTAATCCAATCCAGCTGCTCGGGGCAGTCCCCGAAATGTGGGGATGTTTCGTAGGTAAGAAGAAACACATAAGCGCTTCGTACTGTTTTAAAGCCAAGTAGCTTTCCAGTACCGATTGGATGCCACGCGGGTCCGCCAAATCCCCGTCGCTCTTGGTTTTGAGACTTTCTATGATCTCAAGAATCTTTTCGAAACGACTCATGCGGTAGAGGAGGTCTATGTACTTCTTTGTGGCTTGCGGCGAATTTTCTTCTCTTTGCTCTCTTTGGAATTTTGTTTCGAGAGTTTTGAGCGCGTTCCACGCTTGCTTGTTACACCGTTTTCCTTCAGATTCCAGTCTGGACAGAGCGGCTGCGAAACTCACGGCCTTCAACAGTCGTTTCTCCGCGTGTATGTTTAGTTTGGTTTTCTCTTCTTCTGATTTCCCCGGTTGCCTTGCCAGCTCCAGAAGACAAAGTCCAGCCTGTTCATAAGAATCAGTCATGGTGAAAAGATACTCTTGTTTTTCACCACTTTGTTTACTGCTGGTCCCATCTTTTCTTGAATTCAGGTCAATGATTTGGTCAAACTGCCGGAGAGCGTCTTCAAAACGTTCACATTTTTTCAATAAAAGCCCAAGACTGAATCGAGCTGGACTGTTGACATATAGCATATCTATTGCTTGCCTGTAGTAATCAATAGCTCTAAGTACACAAGGATCGTCCCTATTGTAGATAATATTTTGAACAGCGCATCTCTTTTCGATCGACTCGTGAATTTCACTTTGAAATCTTAAGGATTTCTGCTTAATATTTGATCCGTATCTATGCTGCCCCCTTTTGGCTTCATATTTAGCTTTTTGTTTAGCCTTTAGTTCATAGCACAAGCCTAGATGATGTAAAGTAGTTGAATGTCGCTTTATGGCCAGTGATTTCTCAAGGAGCGATATTGCTTTCTCCAAGTCTGTATACCGCAATATGCGTCCACATTCTGAAAGTGTCCATGCATCTTTTGATCCATATTGTAGAGCTTTCTCAATCAAATTATGCAATTTCAGTTCACCAAATAAAAGATTACAATCGGCGTCACTAAAGCATCGGTCTGATTGGCTCTTCATAACCGCCAGCTTTGCATATGCCCGGCCTCCAAGATTGAAATCCGAAGATTTTTCAGCCACATCAGAAAGTAGTTCCACAGCTTTCTCGGCATGCTCTATGTTTGTTTTTTTGAAGACACGTAGGAGAATACATTTCTGTTCGTTGCTCGTCTTTGCAGTAAACCTAGGCCAAACTTCCACGCGTAACATTCTGGCTGCTTCTTGACAACATCCGTACACAGTTCAATGGCGCGGTTCAGATTTTCAGCACCACCTAATCTGCTCAGAGAATAAGCCAGTTCAGCGTCGACTTCTGTCATCAATTTTTCACCATCGGATTCCCTTCTTAACTTCTCAGCTTCCGCTAAACACTGCTCAGACTCCATGCAACCGCCTTCTCTGCGCAATATGTGGGCGCGGTTTACCAGGCAGGTGATATTTTTCCCTGCTGTCAAATCAAAAACCTTCTGGTTGTGCTCGTTCGCCATCAGGTATTTGCCAAGTTTAAAATCAATCCAGGTGTAAAAGTTGAGTTTCTCAATCATTTCTTCATGGCTATCATCATCCACATGCAACTCGTTCTTCAGTTTGGTTTTGATTCCTTTGATCTTATCTCGCGTTTGCGTTGGTTTTTGGCTGACTAGGCAAGGGAAACTGGAGATCCTATCGTTGAAGTCATCATACGTGGGGCTCTGGATTGCTTGCATCAACCTAAAGTAAATAATTTCGTAACATGTATGATATTACTGAATGAGTAGAAATAGACACTAACGGTTAACCTCTACACATTTCTTCATGTATTTACTTTACCCCACAGTAATGTACACTGTCCCCCACATAATGTGCTTGAGACACTCTTTATTTCCATAAATACACTACGTGATCGAAACCTTTTATCCTATTTAAAACACTACATCAATAGCAGCAATAATAAGTATGTATATGGTATGACTTTAAATATATTATAGCGTAGACCAGCGTTCCAGAAAGGGGGTTCCGCAGACCGGCTTCGCCCGCAAGCCTTACTTTGCCGGATCATAAAACATTAATATTTATTGTCGAATAAATATAAAACATAATAAATCTGGCAGCGTTTTCTGTTGCATTTTCGAAACTTGTCCACCGTTCCGCCAAACCTGAATGCTTGAGAAATGCTGATGTAGGCTACATCATATATAAGGCAATGGTCCATTATAATTTTCAAGATTGTAAACATGCCTCATAATACCACCATGTCCTCGAAAAGAATTGCCCCGTTAAGATATTACCATATTTAATTTACATATGCAAATTAATAATAATAATAATGGTTCATATCATTTGTAGTCGGATTGAACAGACACACGAGCGAGCGGACACACGAGCGAGCGGACACACGAGCGGGTTTGAGCACTCAAACCATGTTTTTTTGTTTTTTTTTAAATGCCGTCCTTGGATATCAGTTCCACATTCTTAACATTAACTTCATCAACTATATTTTTAATACGGATTGATGGAATCATTCTTCTTTTCAATTAAAACACACCTACAGTTTAGATTCAATAAATACAAAAATTAAATGTCCACACCACGAACTTGCCTCGGTATGAATTATGCCTTTGACTAATTTTTACAAATAATATTTTGCTATTAATCTCTTGACACTTCCTCTGCTATTCTCTGGTCTAATCTAATGGACAACGGTCTTAGATATTTGCCTATACCCACGTCAATCGCTCAATGAAATGCTTCTTGAGTTGATCGAGCGTTGATCGATCGATTCAATCGACCGTATCCCTTTGAGGCGCATTCTCACACGTACTCCTCAGCATCCACCCCATGAGCCCTAACCGATTCTCGAACCTCCATTGGTGTCGGTACTCTTAGTTAGAGTCATCTTGGTAAATTGGTGATAGGGCTGTAACGTTTCAATCCAAAAAAATAGGTTTTCCGTGACATTTGTTAAGTCACGGAACTAAAAATTGTGCATATCCATAACTGAATAAATCAATAAACTGTTCTTGAATTCAATAGTCCTCCAAAGGCAGATCAAAATAGGAGAGAGTACAAACAGGTTGTCTATGTATCGGTAGTATTGTTCAAATTCGGGAAAATAATGACAAACTTCTTAATTAAGAATTGTTACATGTTTCATCACCGGGATGAAATCATCATCGACATAAATCTCATTTTCATCAAAACATTTGTTTAGCTATGGAAATATGGCAGAGTTCTTTATTTCTAACTTTATATGCCATAGTTGGAGCTTCATTTTGAAACCTGTCAATGTTTCATGACAATGGAGCACTGAGATCTTTTGTTTTTTTACAAATCACCAGGCATGGTTTCACAATGAAGGTTTGGCGATAAATTGTGCAGTGTGTACCGATATTGTTGGAGATTTTCGCTTAACTAAAGTTTGAAAATCAGAACGGAAATCAAGCATATAGCTGGAGCGCCGTCAGTACACAAGCCAATGACATGTTCCTATTTGATACCATGAGCCTCAAAGAATCTGTCCATTTTGGAAATTGTATGTTTTGAAGTTGTTCTGGTGCTGAGAGTTTCCCAAAACAAAACAAATAAAAAATCATCTTCCAGCTGCTTGTCATATACATATCGTACAAAGGTGGGCTCCGTTGGTGAAATCAGTCGTTTCATCAAGCACGATCGCAAACAATTTGAAAATCAAATTCTTAAACTTCGAGACCAACTGCGTCAGTATATTATCAGATATCTCCGCTATTCGCCTCTATCGTTTGACAATGAAACATGCTTTTGCTTCTCAAGTTCAGAACTTCCCAGCACATTCGATGTGACATCTCTGAAGCAAGGTAATAATATCAATTGTTATCCAATTCTGTGGGTTTCTAGGTGGTAGCTATTTTTATCAAAATCTCACAGGAGGCTTTTTAACTAGCCTTAATGTTGTGCGAAAACCTTCACATGTTATCAAGCCTGCAACTGTGGAATCGTAAGGTTTGGCGTGGAAGCCGACATCTTTGGTTTTTTTGGACAGGGATGCTTCGTTTCCAGATGTCTCTTTAACTTGCTGGGTTTTAGGAGAAGTTGATGCCAACACCTCAGAATACAAAACACACCGTGGTTTCTCTTCCCCGCTAGAATTTATACGGTTCTACAAAATTTCAAATATGAAACGTCAGATCTCGTTAAATTTTGGGGGCTTTCAATTCAATATATTAAAAACTACTAGTTAAATTATTAATTATAAATTAGTAACTCATGATTTTTTAAGTGAGCAATTAAAACAATACCTTCAAAGGGCCAATTAGTTAAGATTATAGAGCAACTCAAGTATAACCGGTATCATTTAGAAAAGGAAATCTTAGGAAGGAAAAAAAGGAATGATGATATAGGCTGCTAGGCATAAGAAAGATGGAGAAAGTTTTCGCACATAATCTTTCTCTTATAGTAAACTGTAAAAAAATTAAGTTAGATCTAGCAGGTAGAGAGTTTGGAGAGGCATGCTCAACCCAACCCACTGTTCCGTTCTCTGGTTAGCTCTAAGTTGAGCTCTTAGTTTCTAGGAATTTACTGGCCAGCTGTTCTGAGAGATAGATTGTAAAAATGAAACTAACTCAGATAGTTGACGCATTACCATAGGAGAAATATTTCTGGGAACACAGTCGGCCTAAACTAGTTGGTCTAACACAGTGGATCTAACACAGTTGGTCTAACACAGTGGGCTTAACACTATCGGTCTTACACAGTGGGTATTACTCAGTAGGTATTACACAGTGGGTATTACACAGTGGGTATTACTCAGTAGGTATTACACAGTAGGTATTACACAGTGAGTATTACTCAGTAGGTATTACACAATGTGTATTACACAGTGGGTCTTACACAGTGGGTCTTACACAGTGGGTCTTACACAGTGGGTCTAACACACTGGGCTTAACACTGTCGGTCTTACACAGTAGGTCTTACACAGTGGGTCTTACACATTGGATCTAACACAGTGGGTCTACCACAGTGGGCTTAACACTGTCGGTCTTACACAGTGGGTCTTACACATGGGTATTACGCAGTGGGTATTACACAGTACGTCTTACACAGTGGGTCTTACACAGTGGGTCTAACACAGTGGCCCTAAATCGTCGACAAACAAACACACTGCTGGTTTCAGAGAAAGCAGTGTGCCTAAAACATTACACTGGAATAAGTGGTTCTCAAACTTAAGTGACTCTACCAAGTCTCACGGGAATTAAACGTTATTCATGGTCCCCCCTGAAACTGCTTCGCGATCCCTTAGTGGACCACGGACCCCGGTTTGAGAATCACTTATTTAAAAGAAAGCAAATGTCTCGTGAAGCGTAATTCATCTGCATTGGCGTAATTCACGTTCAGTGATATAAGATTAAAGCTGACCAGTGGCTTCCAAATGTTCTCCGCGTGTTTCCTATACTACTGCCAAGCCACGGTCACTACACTACTCTCAATGGGATGAACACTTGATCCTATCTTGTTTATGACGAACACCTGATCCTATCCTGTTTATGACGAACACTTGATCCTATCTTGATTTCCTCGAAGTTACTTTCAGTTTCAAAAGTTTGTATTAAAAAAAAAAGCCTTGTTAAATATATGTAGTCTTTTGCCTTTTAGAACGCCACATGGCCTTTGGCTTACACCCACAAAACATCTGGGAGTATTCGCATCCAACCGTAAGCTGTCTTAGTTTGAAAACGCAAAGTATTTAATTCATAGCTTTGTCTCATATCAAAGTTACGGTTTTTATAAATATATTTGATTATTTCGGTGTTATGTTTTTGTTGTTATATTTTACATTGGCATAAAATTATAATATCTTAAAAAACAAAAAAAATTTTAACTTTTTTTTTTTTTTTTTGCTGTTTTACTTAGAAATATGCCGGATAAAGTTATCAGGGGTTCATAGCTATCCTGTCGAACCCACTTATCTTGACCTCGTTAACTCGCCAACCCTTTTAAGTCGACTTTTTGACGTGGAACAGCCAAATTCTCTCTTTGTTTTAGCATTTTCTCCTCGGTTATGTCGATTCTGTTATGTCGCCAAACCCTAATATCTCGAAGCCAGCACAAAAGGTGGCATTTAAATTTGCTACATAACCTCGGTTATCTCGATCCCCATAACCTGTCGCCAGCTTTTGAACTTCTCAAGAAGAAATAAAAAACAAATGAATAAGTTTTGCATAATTAAAAATGATTGTTTATTTCTCAAAAATACAGTACTTGTGTTATATAATGAACCTAGGAGTAATTTAAATAAATGTTGTTTTTTTAATTTGAAGTTTAAAAATCATTCATAAGATTTTGCTGTGTGCAAAAAACTGTTAAACTAGAGACCGACCGAAAGTGATTTTCTGATTTAAAAGATCGTTTAGTTTGTGTTATTAAAAGATCGTTTAGTTTGTTCATAAAGATGGCTAAGTTTCCTCTTAAAGATCATTGTTTTTGTTCTTAAATATCGCTTAGTTGTTCTTAAAGATCATTCAGTTTGTTCTTAACGATCATTTAGTTTGTTTGTATATATCTTTTAGTTTGTTGTTAAAAATCGTTTAGTTTGTTCTTAAAGATCGCTTATTTTGTTGTTAAAGATCGCTTAGTTTTTTCATAAAGATCGCTTAATTTGTTCTTATAGATAATTGATTTTGTTTTAAGATTGATTGGTTTGTTCTGAAAGATCTTTTAGTTTGTTCCTAAAGAACAATTAGTTTTCTGTTAAAGATCGCTTAGTTTATTCTTATAAATCATTTAATTTACTATTAAATATCATTTGTTTTGTTCTTAAAGATCATTTAGTTCGTTCTTAAAAATCGCTAAGCTTGTTCTTTAAGGTCGTTTAGTTTTTAATTAAAGATCGCTTAGACTGTTCTTAAAGATCGCTTAGTTTGTTTTAAAGATTGTTTAGTTTGTTCTTAAATGTCGCTTAGTTTGTTTTTAAATATCGTTTAGTTTGTTCTCAAAGATCGCTTAATTTGTTCTTAAAGATCACTTTATTTGTTTTTAAAGTTCGTTTAGTTTGTTCTTAAAGAACGCTTAATTTGTTCTTAAGGATCGTTTAGTTTGTTCTTAAATGTCGCTTAGCTTGTTGTTAAATATCGCTTTTGCTGAAAATTAAATGACCGAAACCTCAGTCACTCTCGGCCGGATGGCCGAAAGTTTAAGTCAATTTCGGCCGAAACCGAAAAAAACGAAAGTTAACTTTTCTCTTTCGGGTGAAATCGAAATTAAGCCGAAAGTTAACTTTCAGTTTCGGCCGAAACCGAAACTTGGCCGAAAGTGATAAAATGGCCACTTTCGGCGCCAAAACCGAAGCCGAAATTCGGTCGGTGTCTATGTTAAACCATCGGTCAAAGAAAGCTTTAATTAAATATTCATATGCCAAAGATGAATTATTTAAGCTGAGATATTATTTTTTTATGGCCTAGATTTTTTTTAAATGGTTTTGATTAAGTAGCCTTATCGTGGGATTTTAACTAGAATCTAACTTTAATATTAGCAATCAAGCAATAGGCCTACCGGCCAAACAGAGAGCCAACAACCCTTCATATTTATTCAACCATCTGAGGACAGCATTACGAAACAGAAAAAAACAAATCAAGCTTCACTTAGTCACAACCTGGTATCTTGAAGTCTGTTCATGAGTTCTATACCACGCCAACATAAGTTTTAATCAGTGCCAACATAAGTTCTTTGCCAAAATTGAACCTTATTTGAAAATCGACCGTCAGAATTTACTGTAGATTACGCTCCTTCCAAAAAGTGCATTCAATGGATTTCCAATTAGTGAGCACGGTGATCTGAAACAAGACAGATTGAATCAGATATTTTTGATATAATAAATATACGTATTCGAATCAAATATAAACCCATATTATGGATGCTGCTTCTGAACCATTAATTTATGTATGTCAAAGGTCATTAAGGGCCCCCTCTAGATGGCTATAATTTAACACCAGTGGTGAGGGAGGGGTGGGCCAATTCAATGTTCGCCGGCCTAAGGAAGGAATAATTTTGAGCCCCACCTTGGGTTGGCTGTAAATAAGCATTTTTCCCTAGAGTTTTTAACTCTGTGGGACCCTCATGACAGACATTAGCTATACCTTCAATGGGAGACTTGTATATTTCGTATGTTTACACTCTAATATGTCTCACTACAGAGTTTAAATATCCGCCATGATGACCAACCGCACACCACTCGAGACGTTGATGTCACGTTATCCCTGCACATTTAACATCACACCAGAAATAGATTCTGACGCCAAACTCAGAGAGGTGCAAGGAAAGTTGAAGTCAGAAATTCAACACCCAGGCGATGATACCGTCAATGATATCCGGAATAGAAACCTGCTGACGTGGATCGAATACAAATTGGGAGATTTGCGGTCAGCAGTTCAACAAAATGAAGACGTCATTCGGATGACCAACTCAAACGATATGGTATCCCTTGGAAATCGAGTTTTTCTTCTAAAAGAAAAGGGAGAAAACTATGACTCTGCTTTCCAAAGTCTTAAAGCTCTAACCCTCAGACCAGATGCCGGGAAATTAATGGGTACAGCCAAAGCAGACCAGGCGTATTCGTACGCAAGGATTGGCGGGCCGAAAAATCAACAGTACGCCATTGATCTGTACGTGGAAGCTCTGCAAATAGAACCAGACAATTTCCATTGGAAATTCGGTCTTGGTCTCGCCCTAAGAAGGTCTATTCACAAGGAGATGGCAAGATCACCCGAGTTTAGAATGTCTTTCGCACAACGCGTCAAAGAAGGAGCAAGGGTCCTGTTTGAAGTGGCAGAGACCGACAGCCAGAGAAACTTGTTTCGGAAGCGCGCCTACGGGGAGCTCGCTTTTATGAGGGGGCTTGTGGAACAGCAGAAAGACATCCAAGGAGGCATGAGCGTGAAGGAGATTTTCCGTAACATGACGAAAGTGGATTTGGACGGGAAGGCCAAGAATATCAGAGAGTAAAAAAAGAAGTACAACTAACGGCGATAAGGAGGAGAAGAGGATCGGGTAAAAAAATCAGCAACTTTTGAGATTAACTTGTACGATGTCTCCCATAATACGAACAAAAGAAATTTGTAGATGAAGGCAAACATTATTAGAAAGAGTAGGTAGTAATATTTACTTGAAGGCTAAAAGATGAAACAACGGACTTAGACGATGTGTCCTGTCTTAAGGTGGCAAGGAGCTGCAAAAGAACTCTCTTTAACTACGAGAGGATCGAGGAGAAAACGTGTATACAAATAGAAGCATAGACTAGAAAAAGCTTCACGCGTGAGCTTATTTTTAACAGCTCTTTCTTTATCAACTGTTGTGTTGCAAGGATGAAATAATATGTATACACTTGATGAATTAGTTCCAACATACACATGACCGACGGAACATATAGCCACAAAGTATACTCAAATGACTATGATTATTATAATCTCTGACCCTAATATTAATCTCGTTTCTTTCTTCACTCTCTTTCATACGAAATATTCATGAATTTATTATTATTGATTTTTTTAAAAACCATTTTATTGTGGCTATTAAACTAAAAATTAACCATCAATGAATCTCACGTTTTTGTTTGTTATGATTACATTTTTTTTTAAAGTAGTACCAAGTAGATGTGTCTGCACAGTTGCCCAGTACAAAATTGCTAACTATTGATATTCAAGAGAAGTCTGGGGCACATTTCCATGAGGCAACCATGAAAGAAAACCATTTGGGGGGAAGAATTAAAAAATTGATGTAAACATTATGATTGGATAATATGGAATAATACATTTGGATGTTTAATCACAAACATCATTCAATTTCCCTTATCTGTAGATTTCAAGTTTTTGTTGTTGTTTGTGCTATACTTTGTGCTTTGTTTTTGATCGATTAGTTGTAGTTTTTTGTTGTGTTCTTGTTGCGTTTTATTTTTATTTAAAAATGAGCGTGGTTGTTTTACTTGTTACTAATATATTTGAAGAAAAAAACTGTTTCAATTTCCCATTGTAACACTGAGATGATCATGCATTTTATTGAGTCTGATATGACACGTGTGCTATCGTGTACTATTCCTCGGACATACTGATATGGTTCTAAATTCTAATAGAGTAAAACCGCAAAAAATATGTTTTTCTGTTTAAAACTAAAGTTAGATTATTGAAAGTAATCTTAACCGCTAGGTCTTCTCATACTGTGAGAAAATGGGGTGCAGGTGATGATAAGTAAAGTGTCTGACAGTATTTATTTTAAAGCATGGTCCTTCTACAACTATGTTGCCTCGCACTGAAAAGTTTGAGAATCTTTTTTTTTTTCAATTGGTTTGGTTCAAGGACCCTCATAAAATTTATGTCATGTATTTTGCCTGGATAAGGCTAACGGAAATCCTCGGATTAGCCCCGGAACGTGCGAAATCAATAATCACAGGTACTAGTGATATATCTAGGAAAGAGATCGAATTGATCCTAGCACAACTGTGAGGAACGAGGTCCACATATAGGTTTTATAACAATAGTTAATTTCCAAAACTTAGTGTCATGATTTCATTTTTTTTAAACAGTAAAAACAACAAAACAGACACACCAAATTGGAAATAAATAATAATAATAATAAAGTTTATTTGAAAAACATGCTTCATCCCCAAAAGTGCAAAGTCAACTATATTATAAAGAGAAATAAAAACAATCTAAAATTTACCACATTTAAAAAACAGACGCAACACTATAAAACTACATACGAGCATACCAAGTCAAAGTCTTTCATCCCGTTTCAACCATAAGCAACACAAGCCAATATACATTAACTGGAAAAGATGGTAGATAGCATGACCCCCATAAAGTGTTTGCGAAATAGATGTGTCTTTAAATCGGTTTTAAAGAACTCCAGTGTCTGGCTGTTTCTAAGAGCGACTGGAAGGGCGTTCCAAATTGTTGGGCCGGCAAATGCAAAAGTGCGCTTTCCGTAAGTCTCAAGGCGAACACACTGTATCGATATTTTGCCACTATCGGATGAGCGGAGCTCTCTAGTGGGTACATAAGGCGCCATGAGTGCTTTGAGATAAGATGGCGCCAGGTCATGTAATCAGCGGTAGCACAAAGTTGCAATTTTGTACTATACGCGCCACATATTTATCATTAAAAACAATACACTAACAAATTAATAATGCATATGGAGTGGCAAGGCGGATCGTTCGAGTATATAACTGGCAACTGGTCTTGGTGGGTATCAAACTGACAACTGATCTATGCGGGTATCAAACTGACAACTGGTCATGGCGGGTATCAAACTGGCAGCTGGTCTTGGCGTCTGCTGAATATAATATACATTTATATACAACCTGACACCTTGGCAAAGGACTTACCGTAAATAAAAAGTTGGTCTCTTTTCTTTAGGGTTGCGTGCAGTGGCAGGTCGGGTTTTCTTAACCCAGACGTCTGCATACTGCTAACCAAAACATACCAAAACCGAACCCCATGGGCAACCGCCTGGTCGTTGTAGTTCTGCTGAACCTGGTGTTAGTTTGTTTGTTGTTTTTTTGTTGTTTTTTTTTTTTTTAATTAACTTGCTAGACACTGAACAGAAGATTCACCTGTACATATAATACGGAAAAAAATTACCATGGAAACATCTGCTGCTGCTCATAAAAGAGCAGATAAACCTGATATTATGGGTCTTGCCGCACCCCTAGGCAGTGCCTCCAACCACCACCACCCCCACCCCCATGGGGGTGCTAGCACAACTGGTTGGGAATCCATGGTCTATTGAAATTAATTATTTTAACTTAAGATATTTGAAGATTACTTTTTAAGTTCTTTTTTACCTGTTACTAGTAGCTGTGAGTAAAACATAGGACCAGTAACAAAACCTGTAACAGAAACATGGGACCGGTTACAACTACCTGACACAGCAAAATGGGGGCCGGTAAAAAAATACCTGAGACGGCAAAATGGGACCGGTAACAAACACCTGACACAGCAAAATGGGGGCCGGTAAAAAAAAAAATACCTGACACGGCAACATGGGACCGGTAACAAACACCTGACACAGCAAAATGGGGGCCGGTTAAAAAAAAATACCTGACACGGCAACATGGGATCGGTAACTAACAACAAAGGCGTCTAGCGTGCTGCACAGTATGACGCCAGCTGTCCTTTGTGTTAGCATGTGTACACATCTGCTCGGGTCTGCCAACAGAAGAAGCAGTCCACGAAATTTATTGAACAGAGAGAATATGTAGGTCAGTTTAGGTAAGTGATCACCATAAGATATTCATATCGTAGATCCTTTTTTAAAATATTCTCTTAATATGTATTCTATCTTCTATAGTAACATAAGGTAATGCATCAAGAATAAATGAGTGCATATCAGCGTAACAATGATTCATTGTGTTTGTCTTTTGAACGTTGGAATTTATAGACCGTATAGACTAGTATGTAGAGAATATGATTGTAGAGTTTTTGTAGAGTCGGGACAAGTCAAGCAGTGAATGGTATGGTTGGGTATTTTAGTGGAGTATCTAGTAGTGTATATTAGTTTAGTGTCATATAGAGAAGAGTACGCCTAGTTCATTCATTCAGCCATCCCTTTGGCGCTACAGTCCATGTAGGGCTGTAGCCTGCATCCCCACTTACGTCTACTCAGACATAACGGATGCTTTTCTTTTCCATGCTTGGATTCCCAGTTGCTGTGGATCTTTTTCCACATTATCCATCCATCTGAGCCTAGATCTGCCTTTGAGCCGTTTTCCTCTGGGGTTTTGGTGGTGCACCCTCTTCATCCCCTGTCATTTGGCCTAGTTCCAGGTAGTGTTATTTAGAATTAGTGTTATTGAGTAGGGTCGAGACGTTCAGAGAGGCATTGTCTATGTCACAAAAATGTATTGTAAAATAAAAGATTATAACGTCATAATACATTGATTAAAATCAAGCTATATTCCTCATTCATTTCAACTGATGAAAATTATGATGCTATGCTTGTATAAGATAGGGGTGGCAAGTCTAACATCTTCCACAGGCAGGTGATAAGAGATATGTTTACAATTCGTCCCCTTAGAATAACAATGTTCTAAGTCGATTTTTTTTTTAAAAATGAGTTATGGCCCCTGTGCAACAATTAATCAACCCATCTATCATGGTACAAAAGATGGAAGCTTTATAATGAGCCGATTTTGCAGGAAATATAAAATAACAAGGTTGTAACTCGAGGTTGGCCTTTCATCTTAAATCTGTAAACAGGAGAAACCTTATACAATCATACAGACGAAGCATTGAGGCCAAATGACTTCAAAGATTTTAAAACATGTACTGATTAATAAGTTTCAATACCAGAGTGTAAAAGTATGTGTACCGAGTAATGAAATGTACATGTGAGCCATTGGTTGGTTGTAGATTTAGCCATATGGACATAGCATTTGAAAACATCAATGTAAGAAAGCCTAAAAGCACTAGAAGTTGTGTCCCAATGAAATCATCGCAAGTATTTTTGCCTCAACCAAAGACAGCAATGTCATCTAATAAACTGTCTCAAGCTAAGAAAACAGATTTTAGTGACGTGATCAAGTTCATGCCTGAGTTAGACAGGCAAAGCCATAGCAACATAAGTATGTAGTATGGTAGCTGGTTTTAAACGAAAATAATGCAGAAACTTCACATGTGTGTGTAAACCATGTTATTGTCTAATTAATGTTTATGTTTGTGTTTGTAATAATAAATCAATACAAAGAAACTACATACAAGGAAATATTTTCCGTCTTTACTTTAAATATAATTATTAAATGATTTTGTCTTGTTATTATTTGTGATCTAAATAATGAATATATATTTATTCTTGAAAGGAACTGCTTAAATCATGGAGTTAAATAAATAGAATCTGGTTATTCTAAAGTGAAATAGCATTTTCAGAATTACAAGGGTATATCGAAAATTTCGAAAATTCATATAACATCAAAATAAATACCTAGAACCTTCATTTTAATGATCAAACCTTGTATTGATAATATCAACGTAAAACAACAACAACTTCGATAAAAACGTTTTTAGTTATTCCATACAAAACATCAAACTTTCAAAAGCGAATATCTCGGTTTGACAAAAAGGTCACTTAGAACAATTGTTACTCTAAGGGGACGAATTTTCAAATTTTAGAAACGACCTTCATTGAAAAAATAAATTGTTTTAAGCCTCTTCCACGATATACGACATTAAAATTATAAACTCATACCATTTACATAACTACTTTAATGGGGATTACCACAGGCGGCATGATATGGACACAATTCTGGAATCTTCTGCGAATCTACCAGTACCAACCTGTATCACCCACGAATGACGTTCCCTTGGGTTTTCCAGCTTTTCTTCTTTTTTTTTTTTTTAAATTCCCTGTCCAGCGTAGCCTACAGCATCGTTACGTTGAGACGGCCGGATGCACACAAAAATATATTTTAATATATATAATCGATTTTTAAAGAAATAACAAATCGTTGCGAATTTTATTAGCAATTATCTTTTTTGTATTGTTTGTGCAATATTTTGAAGTGCGTTGATCCTAGGATTGAATTGCCTCACGATAAATTTTTGACAATGGGTGTTTGTTGTTGTTTTTGTTTGTTTTGCTTTTCTTGTGATGACCTCTAGAATATTCTAGAGTAGTGTCACGCTAGCGGAAGGTAACAGAAAGAGTCAAGAGTAGTGTAGAATCATTGGAAGTTGTCTAAAGTAGAGAAGAGGAGACAGTGTCGGTTAAGACGTTTTTTACACACATACAGGCATTTCATTCAGCTTTTAATAATACAAGACTTCATTTTATAATAATTTTAAAATAATTGTTCAACGTTTTTCGTTTTTATTAAATGACAGTATCGCAATGGAGAATTCAACACATCCTGACTTCAACGCAATGGAGAGTTCCGAACATCATGACTTGAACGCAAGGGAAAGTTCCACGCATCATGACTTCGACGAAATGGAGAGTTCCAAAAATCATGACTTGAACGCAATTGAGAGTTCCACGCATCATGACTTCAACGAAATGATCTCAAGTTTCCCCTGCCTATTCAACAAAACTCCACTGGTCGTGGGACAAAACATAAGAGAAATCGAGTTCAAATTGGAAAACGAGTTGAGTGAAGATAATGATTCCCCGGAAGAAATTATCGCAAAACTCAATTTCTACACCTGGGTAGAATTTAAACTCGGTAACTTCCCGATGGCGAATCAATATAACCAGAAGGTTTTTTCCTATTTGAAAGCAAGGGAAAGGCCAAATATAACTTGCCTTGTAAACCAGGCCCACATTTTGCACAGGCTTGGCGATGACGTGCAGGCTGAGCAGTGTTTAGCGAAAGCTGGAGAGTTAAGAAGTGGGTGCGGTGGTGAAAAATTGATGACGGAAGTTGACGCTGAACTGGCTTATTCTCTGAGCAGATTAATTGGTGCTGAAAATCTGAACCGCGCCATTGAACTATACACCGAGGTTGTAGCGAAGCAGCCGGAATGCTACGCATGGATCTTGAGACTGGGCCTATTACACAGACGAGCCACCCATAGAAATGTATTCTCTTTCTTGGCTTCGAATAAATCAGTCATAGAGCATGCCGAGAAAGCTGTGGAACTACTTTATGTCGTGGCTCAGAAATCTTTGGACTCGAATCTTAGACGCCGGGCCTATGCACAGCTAGCTGTTTTATGTAGTCAATCGAACCGATGTTTCGGTCAAGCCGATTGCGTTCGCTTATTCGGTGGAGCGAATGTTCATTATTTTATTGACAATGCCCTGAATCATGGACGGAATGATGCGTGGACTCTAACAGAATGTGGTCGCATCATGCGGTACATAGACTTGGAGAAAGCCATATCCCTCCTCGTGCAGTCACTGTTAATAAAAAATCATTCAACTACTCTGCACCATTTAGGCATGTGCTATGAGCTTAATGCTAAAAAGATAGCCAGACGTGCGTCTAAAGAAGAGCGTAAATACATCAGAGGAAGTCATAAAAACACGCAGAGTAAAAATCATTGTCAGCCGAACCCGTCGAAACAAAGTTTTAGTGGATTTCCTGGGAGTTCTGAAAATGAAACTCCTTGGTCGCCCACCATACGATCTCCGGTTAAAAGTAAAAAGCTCAATAAGGGCGACCCTTCTGTGTTTTTAGCCATCAAGTGCTACTGTGAGGCGATCGTTTTTTCATCTGACCGCAATAGAGCCGCTCGATTCAGTCTTGGTCTCTTATTGAAGGAATGTGGAGAATTTGAAGAGGCACTCGAGCATTTTGACCAAATCATTGACGTGACCTCAAAGGACAACGAAGAGAGCTGTGAACGAGGATGTGAACGTCCAGAGTATCGTGACACGTTGAAGGCCGCCCACAAGCAGGCTCGGCTTTGTCTTCTGGAGCTCGCTAAGCAGCCCGGGAAAACAGAAGACGATGTTAAACAGTTGCAGGAACGCGCTGAAGAAAAACGGCTCAAGGCTGTTGGTTTGGAAGCCGATGTGCCCGGTCATGAGTCTAAAAGAAAACGGTGCAAGTAGATCAAAAACGGTACTCTCTGTAAACTATGGCAATACACGAGTCAATGGATATTCTAAAGTGTTTGCGTCGATGTTCACGATACGATGGGATTAGGTTAATGGAAGACTTTAAAGCGTGAGTGAATCAAATAGAACAAACACGAATGTCTTGAAACCAGCTGCGTGGCTTAAAAGCAATTCCAAGACGCTGATCAATTTATGCTCTTTTTGTTGGGGTTTCTGGTTTGGTTGTTTATTGCGGGTTTTTTTGGGTTTTTTTTTTTTTTTTGGTTTTTTTTTTAACATCGAGCACCTTCCCACCTGTCTCAGATTGTTTTTACCTATTAATTTGTATTATCTTAATAAACGTTCGCATGTTTTTTTTTCGGCGAGCCGTGATTGGAGTGCTAAAACAGTGGTTCTCAACCTTCCAAATGCCGCGACCCTTTAATATAGTTCCTAATGTTGTGGTGACTACCAACCATAAAATAGTTTTCGTTGCTACTTAATAAATATGTTTTCCGATGGTCTTAGGCGACCCATGTGTAAGGGTCGTTCAAACCCCCCCCCCCACGCCCCCAGAGGCGTCGCTACCCATAGGTTGAGAACCTCCGTGCTAAACTAACATTGAACTTTTAGTTTCATCTTATTGCCGTAAACAAGAAAAGTTGCTACTTAATAAATATGTTTTCCCATGGTCTTACGCGACCCCTGTGTAAGGGTCGTTCCAACCCCCCCCCCCCACGCCCCCAGAGGCGTCGCTACCCATAGGTTGAGAACCTCCGTGCTAAACTAACATTGAACTTTTAGTTTCATCTTATTGCCGTAAACAAGAAATTAAAATTACTGCGACCAGGAAAACAAATGAATTCATATCTATCAGCCACAAAGATTAACCAACCAAACGGTGTGATGGTCTGTAGCGAAAACGATGAAGAAATAATGTTAGACCTGGCAAGCTAGAACAGCATATTGCTTAAAACGTGTTAATTTTTGTTTTTGACTACAAGACATGTCTTCAATGAGTTACCTTCCGCATTTAATTGATTAAGGCCCAGAATGACTATGTAAATAAAGTTGTTGTAGATTCATTATGACTATCTAAATAAAGTTGTTGTATCAAAGAACTTTGATGTTTTGAGTTGTTGTTTTCTTTAACGTGTGTTTGACGTATTCACACTACAACCCCTGGACTAGAGACCCACATGTGGGTGACGTATTCACACTACAACCCCTGGACTAGAGACCCACATGTGGGTGACGTATTCACACTACAACCCCTGGACTAGAGACCCACATGTGGGTGACGTATTCACACTACAACCCCTAGACTAGAGACCCAGGTATGGTTGACCTATTCACACTACAACCCCTATACTAGAGACCCAAGTGTGGGTGACGTATTCACACTACAACATCTAGACTAGAAACCCAGGTGTGGTTGATCTATTCACACTACAACCCCTAGACTATAGACCAAGGTGTGGTTGACCTATCAACACTACAACCCCTAGACTATAGACCCATGTATTGGTGACGTATTCACACTACCATCCCTAGATTAGAGACCCAAGTGTGGTTGATCTATTCACACTACAACCCCTAGACTATAGACCAAAGTGTGGTTGACCTATCCACACTTCAACCCCTAGACTAGAGACCCAGGTGTGGTTGACGTATTCAATCTACAACCCCTAGATTAGAGACCCAGGTGTGGTTGTAGACTAGAGACCTAAGTGTTGTAGACTAGAGACCCAAGTGTGGTTGTAGACTAGAGACCCAAGTGTGGCTGTAGACTAGAGACCCAAGTGTGGTTGATACGATCAGAGAATTAGTACGGATATTTCTTTTACATAAGGAACACAATTTCCCACCGATTTTCCTTGGTTTCGTATGACGTATTTAAATTTGAGTAAAATGTGAGAGTGTAAGGGAGTGTGGGGAGCGGTGGAGTGGGCGAGGACAGAGAGAGTGTGGAGAGTCGATAGAGTAGGAAGGGACAGAGGATGTGAAAAATGTAAGGAAGTGTGGGGAGCGGTGGAGTGGGCGAGGACAGAGAGAGTGTGGAGAGTCGATAGAGTAGGAAGGGACAGAGGATGTGAAAAATGTAAGGGAGTGTGGGGAGCGGTGGAGTGGGCGAGGACAGAGAGAAGAGTCGATAGAGTAGGAAGGGACAGAGGATGTGAAAAATGTAAGGGAGTGTGGGGAGCGGTGGAGTGGGCGAGGACAGAGAGAGTGTGGAGAGTCGATAGAGTAGGAAGGGACAGAGGATGTGAAAATGTAAGGGAGTGTGGGAAGCGGTGGAGTGGGCGAGGACAGAGAGAGTGTGGAGAGTCGATAGAGTAGGAAGGGACAGAGGATGTGAAAAATGTAAGGGAGTGTGGGGAGCGGTGGAGTGGGCGAGGACAGAGAGAGTGGAGAGTCGATAGAGTAGGAAGGTGTCGAGCATGAGCGTTCATTAGGAATTGTTGCGACTCAATATTATGTTCATTAGTTGTTGAACGCTTTTCCCGCGCTTGACTATTATAGTTAGTGAACGCTCTTCCCGCCATTGTCCTTATGACGTATTTTTATGCTGAGTCGTGACGTATTGTCTATGCCGTGTTGTGACGTATGTTTTAGTCGTGCGGCAGTCTTGAGTGGAACCTTGGAGTGATAGGATGTTTATTATATTTACTTAGATATTAAAGTTATAGTTATTATGAAAAGGAGTCGAGTTTGTTAATTGATAGTTAGAATAGTACGACGCTTCAACGTATGAAAGAACTGACGAATGTAATCAATCCAGAAGACGTTAGGAGTTGACATGGGGGCTTCTCATCCGGGATTGGTGAACCTCGTTATTTTCATACTTGAGGTAAAGTACAAGAACATTCT